TGTACTTACACCTTCAGCATGCTGTTCTAATACGGCAGACTGCTTGAATAAAGCGGACATAGCATGGGCGCTAATACTATCGTCAATAGGCCGTAGATGAAAGTACACAGACAGATAGCAGGGTGGCGAAAAACTTACTCGCCAAGCGGAGTCACTGGATCCAAGGTATTGCTGACGAAGAGTATAGGTGCGGACGTATCCTGAAACCCGGTAGGTCCTTCTTTGGGTTAGCACTTAGGCAGCAGCTAGGTGCAATGAGACTAGAACAAACCTTTGAAGTCCCCCGGTCCCCGACCATTCCACCTAGCACACGGCATCAAAAAGTCTGCAAACGTATCCCCCATCCAATGGCTGCTCTCAATGGAAGGCCGAAGATATTCGTCCCAGTATTCCTCGCGAGTGGTATTCAGTAGCTTCTGGTTTAAGTCCAAACATACGATACCGGCAGTCACTTCTACGCGGAACGAGTATTGGCATGCTTCACGGCACGGGGGATGAGACTGACATTCTGGATCGAGACAGTGAGTTGGCTGCATTTCCTCGCGTAGCATGGTTTTCCAGCCGGCCATGCTCGTTGTGTTTCGTTGTTCGAGATCTCCTAGGATGGTAGCGAGAGTGGGGAAAAGGTCGACCGGTGCGTACAAGGCGAGTTTTAGGAGACGTCTCACGTCAGAATACGTGATTATGTCTGGGTTTGGATGAGTGGTCCAGACGGGGGACGTTTTCAGATCCGACAGTATACTCTTGAAACGCTGTTGGAGGTCGCTTATTGCGTTTTCATTATCTTCTCCGTTGGCGGATGGGTTAGCAAAAGCACATCTCGGCTGGCCTGCCTGATGACAGTAGCGGAAGAAACTTTCTAGTATATGATCCGCATCCCGGAAAGATGTTGACATATCACCCGAGTACCAGCTTACTGCATCTACTACCCCATCTAACACCATCCGGTGGACTTGGTTCGGGAAGAGAGTTGCATAAGTGACACCTAGCAGAGTCCCGTACGAGTAACCCCAGTATTGCAGCTTTGCGTCTGCGTGAGGATCCGGCTGGAGCAGTTGAGCAATCTGATGCAGATCGTGTGCCGTACTCCAGGTATTCATATACGGACCAATATCCGCGCCATCCTTATGGGGATCCGTACACGATGTGGCTAGGGCTTGCATGCGGGCCCAGAGATGATCAGCTGCATGGTCGGAGCTACCTACCAAGCCATGGGCCTGCACGGCCTCGCTCCAGAGGTAAGTAGACAGCAGATCAGGAAAGCACGTCAAGGGAGGGAGGGTATTTCCCACGCCACGGGGGTCAAAGGAGACAATGTCGAAATAGCGAGAGAGCTGTGTATCATCGGAGCTGTCTACGATCCGCTGGATCTCTTTCCCTCGGTCAAGTATTTCCTGCACGCCGGACCCGCCAGGACCACCTGTATTTGTAGTGAGCAACCGTGGTGGGGGCCAGAATGGTAGCGGTAGTGACATTGTTGCCCGTACCTGGATTCACGATTATAGAGCCACCGTAACGCTCGTCGGCAGGGTCTACCTGTGCAGGCAGTTTTATGACGGCCAAGGTGGCCGTTGTATTTTCAGTGGCACTGGCTGACCAGTCTAGAGGAACTTCAAGACGTGCACACTGATAGTCCTGGTAGCAGGGGACGAAGCTCAGGACTGAGCCTGGCGCAGTCTGGTAGAGCGGGTAAGTACGTGAAAAAATTAATGGGGTGGAGGAGATCAGTACGCTACTCCAGGAGAAGTCCACGGCTTGCACCGCAGAAGGCATAATGTATTGGTGTCGCTGGAGAAGGGTGAGTTGAACAAGATGAAATTGATGGTAAGACGACGAGATAGCCGTCGATATAAGTATTGGATGAAGTGAGCGACTTAGCGTCAGCCACGACGGGCTGACATGCATGCAGATCGGGGCACCGCCGGCAACCGACACAGCCTCAGCTCGAGGCTAGAACGTGGTTACCTGGACTCGGGAGATAAGAATACAAAGTATCGTTAGTGCAAATCACATAAATGCGACACAATTTATCTATTAGGCAACAATCGATCGAGGACAAAGTATGCGACTGGTAGGTTCCTATGGAGGGTTGCGGAGGATGATTCATTGCCGAGCTGTCGCTTAATGCCACTGTTATGCTCCCAACGGGGAGAGAATTTCAGACCGTTCACAAAGATAGCATCCTTCTCGACCACATACCCTTATAGAAGCCAGCAGGATTCTTTTTTTGATATAGTTATTATTTATTTCTTATTCTTTATTCTACTATTTCTATTTGGGTAAATTTCTCTTTCGCGTCCTTCTCTCCGTTAATTATTCTCCCATGCTGGACTCCGGCTTTCGATCGCCATGGTAAAGAGCGATGTGGATACTGGAGCAACAAACCATCGATCGGATCTGCATCCGAACCGCCTTGACATGTTTAGTACTTTGTATTTTATTATTGGGAAGGACTCGAATGTTTTGAAGATCACGCAGATTATCACCTGCTACAAGGTACTGTGATTAAGGGCCTTTCGGACCAACCTGACCCAAGACGAGGAATGCGATTTCAAGCTACCTACTTATATAATGTTAGTGCGACGGAGGTGGCTAATTTTACCTTGCCAGTATGAAATTCACGATATGACGGTAGTTCTCCATCAAATAACGGCAATTTCTATAGAACAGCAGTGGAATATTGGGAATCGCGTACCATCTGAGTATGACGCAACGGGGGTGAGCACCGGCGTCGCCCCATGTGGTGGACACGTCTCCGGAGCCATGACGCATGAAGACCCTGATCTGTTCCTGATCTGTCCCTGATCCAGAAATTTGGTTTGTCGCTGGAATATGTTAATTAACTGCGGGTCAGGGTCTTGCCGTCCAGACCCAATGGATGAATCGCTTGTGTGGCCCTGGACTTCCAGTGATCTGCACGGCTATGACGTCGGTGGATGTTCTATTTGTTATATAACAATACAGACAGCCATGTTACTCTTATTCCTGCGCCAAAAGGTCTATCCCCACTACTTTGAGAATCAAAAATGAGCAGGTCAAGCTTTGCCTGTCAGGCCCTGCTCCAGGCAGCTCTTCTTACAGTTGTCTCCGCGATCCCAGCGCCCACAGCGTTCGTCAAAAATGTCGTTCCGCCCGAGCCCGTCATCACACCTTCGCCGGTTCAGCATCACCCTTCACGAGTTGCTGGTCGAAATATTTTGAGTGACGTCGATTCTGATATTAACAGCATCCTTTCTGGCCTGGGATCCGACCTACCCTCCTGGGTCGCATCGGGCGTGCCCAACTACTTCCAGGGTTTCCCCACTGGAGATGCAGTGGTGAGCTCCTTGGGCTTGAACAGCGCTGAGTTGGCAGCCTTGCCCACCAATGTATTGAATATCGACCCATATGCCAACTGGACCAGCTCGGGCTGGAACGTTCGCTTCCACGGAAATGTCTACAAGCAGCCCAACACCTCCATCTCCGATCTGAATGATTTGGCTGATGTATTCCTCGGCAATACAAGCATATCCGACCTTTCTGAATCCGAGCAGAAACAGGCCCGGAATCTAACAGCCGAAATATTAGTCGTCCAGCAACCTGACGTCGCTGTAAACACGATCCACTTAGAGCCTGCCCCGAGTCAGGGATCCAGCGGACAGCCAGGCGGCGGTGGATCCTCTAATACCACTGGCGGCACCCAAGACCTCACTCTGCCCTACAACACCACGGTCGAAGGTGACTTTGACACCTTCGTTCCAATCTCCAGTAACGGCTTGACGGCAGGTAACGAAACTTCGGCCATACAACGACTTAACGTTCACGTGGAGGGCGCAACAATTGGAAACAGCACAGCCTATCTTGTGCCTCCGACCGGGCTCACTGTCGTTTCGGACATCGATGACATCCTACGAGTCACCAAAATCTATGAGCCCGAGCAAGGATTACTCAACTCGTTCGCACGACCCTTCCGGCCATGGGAGAATATGCCGGACATCTATCGCAATTGGTCGATCAGTCTCCCTAACCTGCATTTTCACTACCTAGTTAGTCTATTAAATGTCCCTTATTGTATTGTTGCTGCGTACTCACCACCACACTACAGACGACGACTCCCGAGCAAGTCACCCGAAACTACATGCAATTCATCTATGACAACTACCCCGGCGGGTCTTTCGACACCCGTCCCCTCAACTTTAGCGACGTCTCCGCCACCCTGTCCATCCGCAAATTCCTGCTGAAAAAGGTGTTTGAGACATTTCCGCAGCGCAAGTTTATCCTCATCGCCGACACCAGCAACAGCGACGTCATGCGTGACTACCCGGAAATGGCGACCGACTTTCCAGGCCAAGTGCAATGTATCTTTCTTCGGAACACGAGCGCCACTGACTCCGGTGACAAATTCCCATACGATACGTCTGGGTTTGAAAAGCTTAATCAGTCGAACTACATGTTCTTCTTGCATCCTGATGACTTGACGAATCTAGACATTGCGAATGGCCAGTGCTATAACACATCCATTCCGCAGAATCTAACGTTTAGTTATCAGGGTTTGCCATTGGGGCTGGGCGACGAACCCACTGCTGTCAATGGGTCTGCCAATCATACTGCTGAGTCGGCGGCCAGTTTGTCGATGATGGGTGGGACTAATAAGCAGGGTTTAGTCTTTCTTATTGTCCTGGCTACGGTCTCTTTCATGGTCTTGTAGATATCCATTACGATATATGAAAAATTACGAACTTATGACTTGATTCTCTTTCCAAAATCACGTACAGCGGAGGCTCATTCTCTATGTGGGAGCTATCACCAGAGTAAACCATCGTGAAATTATCTGCTACTGGATCTATTAATGTTTGTTTAATTAGAGCTCACTCAAGATTGCGGCTACTTTTAAGTGTCACTTCTAAAATCTACCTCGTCCATGACTGGCTGGAGCACGCTTCGGCTGAACTCCGGCGCTTATCTACCCCGCCGGCTCACCACGCAATCGTCGTCATTTGTCTGGAAGGTTCAACAATCATCTTTTATCCATCTTTCGTGGTCTTTATTGATATACATTATACACAATAGACTCGTTCGAGGATACCTGAATCTCTTCACAGCTATCCGATACATCCGCGAAACCATGTCTCTCCAGCTTTCCAACCTGTTCGGCGTTAAGGACAAGGTACGTATGAACCATCCAACGTTAGTATCCTTGTCTGATGGAGACATAGATCGTCGTAATCACTGGCGGAGGCACCGGACTCGGCAAAGGCAAGCTAGAATCATAGATTACGGAGTCCAGGTTCTAACCTTTGAGTCCATTGCAGCGATCGCGGAGGGCTTTTCTACCAATGGTGCCAAAGTCTACATTACGGGACGTCGTGTCGAAGTCCTCGAGAAAGCTGCAGAGGAACTGCGGGGAAGAGCGACACTTGGTGGACAAGTAATACCGTTAGTCGTTTCCCTGGTCTTCGATCACCATTGATACTGGATGAAACTGACGTCACATACATATAGCATTAAGAGCGATGTGAGCACAAAAGATGGCTGCGCCCAACTCGTTGAACAGATCAAGCAGAAGGAAGATCATGTATGCAGATGATGAATTTTATAAGGGTTAAGGGGTATGCTAACTAGTGTCTCACAGGTTGATGTGCTAATTAGTAATGCTGGTCTGCCTGGGAAGACGGACTATCCTCCTTGGAATCCCAACGATCGTAAGGCTACCTGTCTCGTGTGTTTGATGGCTGCATCGTTTGCTCATAGGTGAATAGCCGACGCTGTTGAAAGAGGGCTGTGGGAAAGTGTCGACGAGTAAGTTCCCGCATTCTTCACTTCGATGAGGTGCGATGCTGATAAAATCAAGCGAATCCTTTACCACAACCAATAATGGTGTGTAGTTCTGCCTACAGGATATCAGGAAATAGCTAACGGGTGATGTGGACAGTCAATATCAGTGGTGTCTATTTCACCACTGTGGGTTTCCTCCCGCTGCTGCGAAAGTCTTCGGACCCCAGCGTGATTGTGATTGCTTCCTTGGCCGGGATTGCCAACCAGAGGTGAGTTACGCTGTTGACGTGTCCTATGAAAAGCTAGTGCTGGAAACTAAGATATAAATAGGACCGTGGGAACGGTGACTTATGGTGCTTCGAAAGTAAGTGCCTCCATGACTAACAGTACATCGGGGTCAAATTGCTAACAATCATTTTAGGCTGCAGGTACGCTTAATTGCCGGTCATTCGTTCCTTCTACGCTAGCTAACTCGTCTCAAAGCTATCCACGTATCGAAGCTCCTGGCTGGTAGATTTTCTCCGTATGTCTCTATTCTCTGCTTCTCTATTGCTGCAACAGACTTGGAACTATGATAGATTTGATTCCAAAGTTGCTCTTCTAACAACGACATTAGTATGAAAGTCCGCGTTAACTGCATCTGCCCCGGAATTTTCCCCAGCGAGATGACGTTCGCTGATACCACTGGCAACGCGGAAAACCTCAATCCCGTCTCAGAAGGTGCTGCTAAGCGGGCTCCTGCTGGTACGTGACTTGCCCAACACCATGCATTATGCAGCTCTAATAAAACAGGGCGCCCTGGATATCCCGAAGAGATTGTCGGACCGTGTCTGATGCTGAGTTCCAAGGCCGGGGGCTACATGAATGGAGGGTACCTCTTGGTTGATGGCGGCAGAGCAATGGTACGTATCCTGGCTACGAATCCAGACACAGGCAAAATGCTAATCCTAGCCAAGAGCGCATCCATCAACGATGGGATTCACATGCCAGAGGACACATACGTGTGGTAAATTCATATGTGCCCAAGGACTCAACTACAGCTACCACCCAACCCTAGTTCTAACACACTAAGATAGCGATCACATAGAAGAGTCATAATGAACTGATTAGCTATCTTAACTTCAACCTAGTAGTCAAACATTTATATTTCTATCATTACCAGATCACGAATTACCGCCCCTCCGTAACAGTCCTCAACTCATTCAACATCCCCGCCCTGAAAACCCCCACATCCGTAATCACCGAAATCATGTCAAATCCCTGTTCCGCGCGCACGCGGGAATCCTTGCCATCCGTACAAAAGATAGCGGCCTTCTTCCCTGCCGCATGCGCAGCCTTCAAAATCCGCTGAATAGCCGCCTCATGCTCCTCCCCGCCCCTCGTAACACCCATCTGCTTCGCCAAATCGAAGGGTCCAATGAACAGGACATCGATGCCTTCCACAGCAGCGATCTTCTCTACATTCTCAACGCCAGCCTTCGACTCAATCTGCACAACCACAATCGTGCCTGTTTGCGAGCCCTCGTCGTACTCTGCACCGGGCGCGACGCCGGGGAATGCGTGTGGCGCGAACATCGGGCCGTAGCCTCGTGTGCCAAGGGGTGGGTACTTGGTCCATTGGACGATTTTGGCGGCTTCAACCTATTTCAAATCGTTAAAAAAACATTCCCTCTGACTTGATTCAGAATCTATTAGGGAATTTGGATACGCACTTCTGAATGGCACATGGGGGTCATGACCCCGTGAGCACCGGCGTCCAGCGCCCGTTTGATCATCCATTCCTCTGCGCAGGGAACCCGTACAATCGGGCTTACGTCTTCGGAGCCAATGGCGTTGAAAAGCTTTTATCGGTTATTCGAAGCACTACATTGGATTAAAGGCAGATTTACTAACCTCATAATAATGGCGGTCGGAGATTAATCCGTGCTCGGCGTCTACTAGGACCCAGCTGAAACGGCCCGGGCTAGGAGGCTGGGCGTGCAGAATGGTTTTTGCGACTGCTGCGCTGGGGAGGCTGCATTCATCGAATTGAAGTTAGTTCATATTGGTACGAAGTGCTAAGGGTACTGGTTGTGGATGAACATACGTGAGCCAGAATCCAAGGGCCGTGGAAGAGCCCCGGAGGGTGGAGGTAATGGCGGTTTCGAAGGGCATATTGGAGATGATCCTGGGCGTGGTGTTAGAATATGGTTCCTCTTGGGGTGGTTCAGGCTACAGCAAGCATATGTACCTTTACTAGGATATGTTCGACGTAGACTTCAGTTGAATTAAGTATGAAAGAAGGTTGAAGTTCTGTTTAATAGAATTCGGTTGTCTTAATAGCTCGGTGTTCTCTGCCCCGCCGGTTAACGTCCTCGGCTAACCGATCGCATCAACTCCGACCGCAACGGGGTAGTTGACCCCGAAGCATACATTAATTGTCTTGAAACAACAACAACGGAGACCATATAAGTTGCTTGTGATGTTCTTGGGTATATTCAAACTCCTCTACAACTTGTAAACTGTGCATTGGTCTTATCTGGGGTATTCAACGTTGTTTAAATGATTTGCCGAGATAACCATAGGTGACAAGTTGGATACGTCAGAAAAGAATAAGCTATTGAAACTGGCACCGAAAGGGTCTAGTCTGAGGCTCAATAGCTCATTGATGTCATTTGCGAGCTACATTAGTATTATGACTAGCCATACAGCTGCCGCGTGTCTATGCAGGTGAGTCATGGGGGCCCGTGACGGTTGTAAGAAAACGGGTGCCTGGTGCAGGATCATCTGATATCGTATCAAATGAGACTAAAAAGTATCATTCTTTTCACTTATCAATCTAATATCTGTTCACAAAGATTGTCCTTGATTCTGAGCAAACCCGCCCCACTCTTGACATCACCACGTGTATAAAGACCAGCTGGGACCTTAAACCCGGCTTATCACCGCACTTTATCGCGCACTACTCCGTACTCTACTTCCCTAAAACCGATATATCCGTCCCTAGTAATGATCTACATGTCGCTCGCGTCTTCTATCATTCCATAGTATCACCACCATACCACCATTATATACCATCCACTTCTGCCCCGATTCATCATCAGTAATTATCACATCGAAACAACAACCAAAATGGCGACAATACTCTACAATCAACTCTTCGTCACCCCCTCTCTCCCACCCCCTCCCTTACCCTTCCACAACCGCACCGTCATCATAACCGGCGCCAACACCGGTCTCGGCCTAGCAGCAGCCCATCACATCGCCTCCGGCACTTTGGGCAAACTCATCCTCGCCGTCCGCAACCTCTCCGCCGGTGAATCCGCCCGTGCCGAGATCCTCAATGCCCATCCCACCTGCGACCCTCAAACCATCGAGGTCTGGCCCCTAGATCTGGCCTCCTACGACTCCGTCCGCGCCTTCGCTACCCGCGCAACCACTACGCTCGACCGTCTTGATGTCCTTCTCTGTAACGCGGGTCTCGCGACGTTTCAGTACTCCAAGGCAGAAGGTCATGAGCGCACGATCACGGTCAATGTGATTTCGACGTTTCTGTTAGCGGTGCTACTGGTGCCGAAGTTGAGGGAGACGAGGAGGCTGTGTCAACAGAAGGGAGAAGAAGGACACACTCCTGTGTTGTCGGTAGTGGCGAGCGAGGTCCATGCATTCACCAAGTTTCCTGAGAGGAATGCGCCCACGGAGAAAGGGGTGAGTGTGTTTGAGGCGCTGGATGAGCCGGATCGGTACTATGGGACGATGGCAGAGCGGTACCGCACGTCGAAATTATTGGATGTGTTGTTGACGAGGGAGTTGGCGGATTGCATTGGGGATGATGATATTGTGGTGAATTGCCTGAATCCGGGACTTTGTCAGTCGCAGTTATCCAGGGAGATGGATAATGTGGTCGTTAGGATTGTATTGCGGTTGTTGGGGAGGACGTTAGAAGTGGGGAGCAGGACGTTGGTGGCGGCTGCGGCGGCGGGGAGGGAAAGTCATGGAGAATATATGTCGAATGGAGTGGTGTGTCCGCCGGAATTATCGTCGTTTGTGACGAGTGAGGAGGGGAAGAGGACGCAGAAAAGGGTGTGGGACGAGTTGAGTGATATTTTGGAGGAGATTCAGCCGGGGATTATGCGCGGAGTGGTGTAGTTTGGTGTATGTATGATTATGACTGGATTGTTTGTATTTGTATACTTATAGTGACCGACTCCACTTAATGCTAATATCTAATGATGACCGTTTCGTAGATGTGACATCTTGATGCATAGGTTCGCGCATAAGAACAACTATTATGTAGTTTGGCACCCAGATAGCACCACTCATGGTTTCGAGTGGGGTTTGAATATAATATGCGACGTGTATAAATGGGAGAAGCGCAACCATGCAAACAAGGAAGGCGCAGTAAGAAATACATTTAAGGTCACATGCACACATCAACGGTACATGATGGGTAGCGGGATCGAAAAAAAAAAATGACAAAAAGGAATGACCTACGCAGGATTCGAACCTGCAATCTCTTGATCCGTAGTCAAGCGCCTTACCATTGGGCCAGCAGGCCTTGTTATGGGCAGTCTTATTATTTTGGTAAATAAACCAAAGGTCATTTTTCTGCACTTGCACCTACAAGCTTTGGCATGTTCTGTCTGTCAAAGTGCATTAGCCAAGGCAGCAAGTAGCTGGTAAGCTCAAGACAAAGTTCCGACCGATATATTGAACACTTACTGGGTTTCCACGGCTATGAGTATGTGTTAAGTGTATTCATAATGAAGATGAACACTCTTTGCGCCATTACCATCTATCTATACAGTACTACTTATATATATATACAACTTGGATTCTACATCCTGCGGCCCAGCTATATGTTATGGATGCTGTCAAGTTTCGGGCGCAATTGAAAACCGACTTCACATCATCGCTAGGGAATGAGGCCTGCGACCAACCGGCTTGCAACTATCATCAACACTGCTGGGCTGATTTACGTTGGCTCCGATATACCTCCGATACTTACCGGATGAGCTATAGGTCGATGACACTGTTTCACGTTCTTCCTGGATATATGCATATATTGCAATTATACCTTCAGAGAGAGCCGTCTAGAGTTTATTCCCTTTGAGCCGACTTTCCATTCTGTCCCACTGTTGCATAGCTCTGATAGTTAGAACCACCCAATCCGTCCGAACCCCTAGCCGACATCAGCGCATGAGGCAGGATTCACTGGCAGGTCGAGAAAAACGAAGCGATGCATTTTCCCGTGGAAAAGATCCGTCTATAAGTAAGTGAGCGACATTCCCAAGCTAGAAGAGATTTGCTGTAGTCGCTGGGCGAGTTCACCACTATACTTGTCTGCGTTTCAAGGGAAATATGATATGCGATTTTATTTCACTGGACTGAAGGAATGTACGTTAGCTAAAATTCATTTCTAGCGCTGGTGTGAAGGATATGGAGCATTCCTGTTCCTGAATGGTTGTGATTCCACGGTTAGTCCTAAGCTGTCTGCAGACGGTTTACCCAATTGCCCCCTCATGGTTAACGCGGCGAACTGTCGGGGAACACTAGCATTGCAGAGGTCCCCGAATTGCATTGCGCAATTTTCAGTGAGCTGATCGTAAGATAAGCCATTCTGCTCTTTCGGCCAATGAGAAGCCGACCATCGTGCATATTAGCGCTGCAGTAGTTAGTTCAAACATATATAAGGTCCATTGTAATAGCTGAATCGTTTTTAGCCAGTAGCCAATGCAGTTTGCAGCGCTAAGGCATTAGTTTGATATTAGAGAGGGGAATAGAATTCCAGCAGAGTAATTTATGAGGCCTTTGAAGAGGTTGAATGTGTAGTCGATATGGATAACCTCCAGTAGCCCTTCTTCTGTTGTGCACATATTTTCCGCTACTGTTCATATCTACTACTATCTAATCTTCACCTCCGAATAAACATGACGGATGTTGCAGTTTCAGGATGCATAGCATCTTCGCAGATCATGGGCTGACTGGCTAAAGGAGCGATTGTCACTTGAGCGCGCTATCCTTCCCCTTCGCCGACGTTTCCGACGATTTTTTCCTCTCCTGTCCTCTTAAAAAATCTCATTACCGCCGATCAGAAAAAAAATGGATAAGGCTGTAAAGCGCACTTCCCCTTCCTGTGGACCCACAGACCAACTCACCATGCATCATATGTGACATACTGTTATACTGTCGTTCCCTGCTAGACTGCCCTACCAACTAAACCACGGATTTAGAACCCCGACGCGGAGCATTCGCCATCTTTGATGGTATGCCAGTTACCACTGAATTTGCATGACAGGAGAGTTGAAGCTGTATAAAATATCCCACGAGAAGCATGTCTGTTCGACAGGTACATTACACTCGGGAAGGAAATGTTTGCTTTTTGGAGGGTGGCTGTACTAGATACTAACCAGTAGGCGCGTCAAGACAGTAGCTGCATGTTGACGCAAACATTGGCCTGTTCATTCTCTTTTTCCCATTCCTCCATGCCCATATCAGATTAATACGTTCTTGTGGTTTACAAACCTCCTTTAGAAGTGGATATGCTTATAACTCTTACTATAGGCCGTGACAATTACTTCCCGATGTCGCACCGCATACCCCGCAGGTTCTCGGGGACCAAGGCTTATCGGGCATAAGCACGACGTGGACGATCACGGACCCCAGGATCTTTTCCTACTCCCCCCGAACTGCAGCTACTCCTGCACGTAGTTGGGATCCACGCTGTCAGACTGAAAGCTTACGTGCGTGTGTGATTCATTTGGGAGATAGCACGACATCAGCCATGTATTCTTTGCCCTCCTTCGGAGCAATCTGCACCGCAGAGGACAAAATCCGCATACTATTGACTATTTTGACATGTACTGAGTGGCCAGCAAAAGGCCAAGCTAGGCTGGTATTATAATATGCAAAACTACAGACAGTACAGTCGGGCGCCTCCAGCTCGTTTTGCTTTTGTCACCTCTTTCTCATTCAGCTACAAGGAAGTAAGCATCCCTGCAAGCTACGCAGGAAGAGGGGTTACTGTGTTGTCACTCAACTGAAAAGGACCCAGAATCCGAGAGCACTCTCCAGTTTCCCATCCTTTTCCTCACACAAGCACAAGATCTTGTTTCTCTTACAATTACTTTGGGCACCGGTCCTTCGCCCGAAGAGCCTAAACAGGTCATCCCTACCCAAACCCCCACAAAATAACGAAATGGATACTATGACAATTGCCGAGCCAGCCCCGGAGACTGCAATTTCAACTGAGGCTGTACAGCCAAGCTTCTCATACTCGGGAGCTCAGGAGAAGAGTGAAGTTTCTGGTGTGGACAGCACTGCTACTCCCACTGAGGCTGAACTTGAAGGTCTCCGGCCAAACCTTATCACTGCCATCGAGGAGCCGGACCTTTCTCGCTTCAGGGAGCTGCTCACTCACAAGGGAGCAATTGAAATTGATCTTGATTATCGATTTCCAGACGAAAGTGAGGACAACACTGGCCTCTCTTTGTTGATCCTGGCATCTGCGCTTGGGAAAGAACCTATTGTGGATTATCTGTTGGATGAAGAACGCATCAACGTTGAACTTGGTGCTTCATATCCAGTTGGGTGGACGGCACTGCATATGGCGGCTTGGGGAGGCCACGAACGAGTTATCAAGAAACTTCTGACGAAAGTTGCCGACGTTGATTCAACGAACGATTATAGGGAAACGGCACTTCACTGTGCTTGTCAGTATGGTCGCTTAGAAGCGGTTAAGACGCTGATTGATAAGAAGGCTGATGTCAACCGAGATAACAGACTGGAAGAAACACCTTTGCATTATGCCTGCGACAACGGTCATCTGAAAGTGGCTATAACGCTTATTGAGAAGGGAGCCAATGTCCACTCAAAGTCTGGGAGAGGATATACACCGCTACATTATGCCTGTCGCAGTGGCCATAAGGAAGTGGCCGAGATGCTGATCAAAGAGGGAGCCGAGATTGACGCAGAGTCTGCAACTGGACACACACCACTACATCATGCCTGCTTGAATGATCAGCTCGAAACAGCCAAGATGCTAATTGATAAGGGAGCCGATGTCGATCACCCCACGGAGAATAAATATACGCCATTACACAATGCTTGCTGGGACGGTTATCTTGATGTGGTACAGATGCTCATTGAGAACAAAGCCGATGTGCATTATACTGATGAAGATGGTTGGAATGCCTTGCATTTTGCCTCCATGTTAGACGATGACAGTGTACTAAGACATCTTCTTTCACTCACCGGGGGAATAAAGCTTGACCGGAATCGTCGAAGCACAACGGGGCAGACACCTCTCATGGTAGCCATCAACTCGGAGTACGAAATTTGTGCCAACGTCTTATTGGATGGTGGTGGTGTTGACGTTTCTTTGAAGACTGAAAGGGGTGATACAGCACTAGTGTTTGCAGCTCGGAAGGGAAAAGCTCATATCGTGCAGAAGATACTGGAATCAAAGGCGTTCTTCCCCGACAACCTGATTGAGGGGAAAATCTGCCTCTCCTCACCTTATGAACTGGAGCAGTTAGAGCCAGTATTTGTGGAATGGCTTGCCAATGGAATAATATGTGGGGACTGGGGCAACAAGGTGATGTGTTGGGCTGTTGTAAATGGGAGTGTGAAGGTCATGAAGAAGTGTGGTGAAAAATTTCCCGATGCGAAGGGAAGCCCCGACGGCCAAACGACTTGGCTACACCTGGCATCCAAGTACGGTCGCCAAATTCTTATAAAAGATCTTATAAGGAACTACAATATCGACGTCACTGCTACTGTCGCACAGAAAATGACGGCTTTACATTTGGCGGCACAGGGGGGTCACATCATGACGGTGCAGACCTTGTTACACTATTTCAATGAGAAGTACTCTGGAAACAAGGCCACGGATATCAAAGCTGGAACTCCTCCGTCACAAAGAAAAAACACCTCTCATAGCATGAACTTGGTTGATTTGATCTTGAGCAAAAACGAGAAAGATGACAACGCAATCACCTTGGCTCGAAAGAGCAACCACCGAGCCATCTGTGACATCCTATGGAAAGAACTCAGTGATCAAATTTCCAACAATGAACTACCGTCTGACAATTCGGCTAGTGTCAAGGAGCATTTGGTTGAGATAGCAGCTCAGTACGGAACTCCTGGCAAAGAAGAGGTTGTTAAGACTATCCTTCAGCACAGCAAGACAACCAAGGAAGACCGGACACACTGGACCACCCTTCATTGGGTTATCGATGAACCCTGCGTGGCGCCTACTTGGTGGTTATTGTCAAACGGAGCTCACCTCAAGAGCAGTGAGATCTCGATGGCTCAAGATTTACTGACGAAGAAATTGAATGATGATCCCATCAGGAAGAATAACCCCAACAGGAAGGATGAGACCACCAGAAAGGATGAGACCACCAGAAAGTTGATCGGAGTACTGCTTGAAAACCCACCAAAGATCAAAGATCCTCCACCGACAGATGATACTTACCACGTACCACAGTTGCCAGAGTGGATTAGTGAACCACTGGAGTCTTTCGGCAGCCAGAGCACCATCGTGGATTTTTATTGCCCGAAAAGCAGCGTCGAGTTTCAGCTCAAGAGACGACCGATGAAGGAACTGATCTATGAAGGCAACAAAGGGCCGAATGGTATCATGAAAGACGTACAAAATGACTTCAATGAGTTGGCCAAATTCAAGGAGCGACTTGATTCTGAGCTTAAGAAGATCGATGGAAATTCCTCGTCAAAAGACCCCACAAAAGCCCTTGCCCCAGACCCGGACAGTCGTACAAAGACTAAAAGCCAAGATGTGAAACCAACAGCATCGGTGAAGCAACCAAATAATAAAGCCCCAGGGAAAACCGACCAGCCTTTATCAAAGGAAGGCAATACAAAGAGCAAGGCAGGGGAAGAAGAGAAACAGAGTCCCCAAGATTTCAGATGGATACACGTCCCCGCAACATGTGTGAGTAAACTTCACTATTGTGCCAAAGTATGACTGAGAGCTAATAACCATGTTAATCCAGAGAAAAGTGATTGAGGTTCGTCTTCCTACACCATGTGCTCGTCAGCGCGCTGAGTGCTTACTCGTAATTTGAATTCAGCACCTCATGACGAGGATCGCAATGGATTCCAAGAAAACACAGCAGGATCTGGATAGCATACTTGGCTATCTCAAGCGAAGCTGGATTGAGGTTCCTGCCGGCGGGGGTAGGCGTTATCTTCAACCACAATATCAGGTATGGCGGAACATCACCACGAGTTCAACATTTCTTCTGAACCACTCCATATAAAAGGAAAACGGGAAGTGCTGGTCGAGTAAAAAGGATCAAACCTTGACCAAGAAAGCCACTGCGAGCGACATCCAGCCAGATACTCCGCAAAGCGCTGAAACGGCACAACAGACCAATATGAACCCAGAGAGCCAAGCCAGAATCAGAAATAAGCTGATTTCACTATATGTTAGTTACTAGGAACGGAGACATTAACACAGACTAACACTATCGCCTAGATACCATTTCTCACAGTATCTGAAAGGAACTTGGAACAGAGTCAAACTCATGACACGGATGAACAGAAAATCGAGAGAAACAGGCAACGCAAGGAGAGAAACAGGCAACACAAGGAACACAAGGCAATTCACAGACATGAGCCTATGACACTTCACGAATATTACTACACAACAATAGATGATAGTGTCTTGAGAGACAAAAAACAGGTGCTTCGAGAATACTTGCAGCGGACATCGAACAAGAAAAACGTGAGCAATTCCGACCAAGAGCAGTGTCTGAATATGAAGGATGTGAAGTCCGAACAAGAGCAGTGCTCAAATATGAAAAACGTGGGAAAGTCCGACCAAGAACAGGTCGCGAAGAAGACGAAAGGCAGAGGCCTCTGTCACTGGTTACCATGGGTACAGCGCCCATCGGCCCCCCCAACTAAGGACACACAGGAGAAGAGCTTTATCTATACTGTTGACCAGCTTTGGCTTTGGATTGTTAACGACGGCAAGTGCTAGCAATGCTTTGAAAGTTCAACCCGGGATTGCGCTAATCTGTAATAGACACAATTGTCACCGCCACAACAGGTGGCTCAGACGGATTAGTCGACGCCATATTGGACCATCTGTCTCCTGATTCAACTGGGGAAGGGGTCCAACGTCCTAAGTCTGCCACAGAAATGATGGAACTAATCATTGGTATCGCAACAGATCCCTCATCGCAGAGGGTTCCCATTACGGATGGTAGCCAATCTGTTACAGAGCAAAAAGATGCACTTCAAGTCTTTCAAGAATCCACGCGTGATGTGGTAAGTATGGGCGTTTAGATCCGACATCTAAGTACTGATCAACGATTGTCAGATTGATATCGAAGCCAGCATATCGGAAAACTTTATGACAGCCGTCAAACAGAACCATTTTCAAAAATTACCGGAACGGGATTTCGGCGAAGAATTTGATCTTCTGTATAAGATCAAAGAAATCCGTGATGAGCTTGGTATTCTCAAAGACATTTCGAATCACCAGGAGATTGTGTGGAACCAGGCATTTCCACCTAAGAACAAGAAAACCCCCTACCCGTTCAAGTATCCGCATCCTCATAAACCGAGTGTAGTTCAAAATGAACTGCGAGATATGATGGACGAAGCAAAATCCGCTCAAGATTCTGTTAGTTTCTCCTGGCTTATTGGAGAGGCAAGGCTGACACAGAATACAGATCAACCTGTTTTTGGACCTCAAGGAGAAATATACTGCAAGTCAGGATGCCGCATTTGGACGACAACAGGCCTATACCACTATGGTCTTCACCATTGTGACTATTGTATTCGTGAGTGCCACCAGTGCACCTTGTACCTGTCCACAAGCAAAGTCTGATAATGGTTTTCAGCTTCCACTTACCTTTCTATCTTCCATCTTTGCGCTCGATATCGCCCAATTTCCTCACGGGCCTTCTGGCCGTCCGCAGTTTCAAAGCTGGTGGATCTTTCCTTTGATCTGTATGTTATGTCTTATTGGACTTTCCTGCTTATGCAGTTTGGATTTGTTCTCACTGGATGCAGTTGGACCATCCGCAGCCGTTGCCATCCCATTGATCGTCGTCGCTTTCAATGTAAATGACTTCATTGTTACACCCTACTACAAATGGAAAGTTGGGATGGCCTCTTCCCACGCCGCTTCTGATCCCGGACGCCAACCCTCCAGAGGGTCAGATGATGCCAGTCAAAACGGTCATGAACGGTCCCGCTCTATGTTTCCTAGGAGAACACCGAACAAGCCTGAAGATGATAAAGTGTAAGATGGCTAACAATTATCGGGTCAATACGATGGATATAGTGGCCTACTTGCTGAAGTCAGTTCCGGATGTTGCTAGAGAATTTGACACATGATTAACGGAACTGCGACTACATCTAGATTTGTGACTGATTATATCTAAAGTTCACGGGCACTGTACAAGGGACTAGAGCTGCTGGTCAGAGTCAACTTATCATTCACTCTTAATGGATGTAATGCATCATGTGATAGCGTGAGACAACCATGGTGCACACCACGGAACCCTATCTGCCATACATAGTTTATTCCCATCCATATCTTTCAAGACCAAATACTAATTTATTTTACGGGTGTATGCTAGGCGGCCTTGTTCCATTCCAGTCGCCTTCCCAGTCTGCCCAGCCGTTGACATACTCCATGAAGACTATGTAATAAGCCTAAAAATAAGTATAAAAGTTACAACTATTTTATCAAACGCTAAAATTAGGAGAGTGAATGCATTTTGGGCAAAAAGTACATATGAATATCGATCGACAAAAAAGGAATGACAAGGATGGGATTCGAACCCACGCTCTTTCGAATTGGTGATTGGATAGTTAAACCTAAAACCAACGCCATAACCACTCGGCCACCTTGCCGTTCTTGAGTATAGAACTGCACTAATAGAAATATGACCGCAAAATTTTATTATTGACGACAAAAAATCGAGCTGATTTTAGGGTTCATCTATGGGAAAAGCGGCATTGCGGAGGGTTAAAAGGCTTGAAAAGTATGTAAATAGCGGATCACGGAACAGGGTATCATCATTAATGCTAGTATCCACTGGTAATCAAACTACGGAACCGTGGGTCTAGCCATGAGAACTGCTCGGTTCTTAATTCACTGGAGAGTTGGGTGCTGCGCGGTTATTTAGGTACCCTCTCTCCAGGATACTATGGGGGGAACTGTTTGAGGTGAGGCGGGTCTTTGTTGGCCTCTGCTATATCCTGGTCAAGTAGAGTAAGCCATGGTTAGATACGTAGAACCTCTTTAGCCCTGGCTAGATAAGGTAGGTCATGTCCTGTGGTAGTATTTGGCATAGTATGCTAAATCTCGGTAATCTCGGAAGGGGCTTATTGTACTCTATTTCTAATTCTATCTCCATCCCTTCCCTGCCCATCAAGGGATGAGAGGGGCTGGCTGACCGGCTGTTGGCGAGTCAGTCGGATGGAGGGATGCGTGGCCTTGAATCAGGTAAATGAATTCAAGTTGGTAGTAATGAGTAGTTAGTATCTTTTGAGTTATCTGTTGCTTACTGCTGCACTCTGCAGCATGTCATATCTAAGTTTTCATTCAATCTGTCGGTGCAATCTGGCGTGTCAGACATATCGTACATACATGCGTCAAGCCAAGCAATGATGATTTGGATTGGTTACGTGTTCTTGATGCCGGAGGATTGGTATGCAGATGATAAAGACAAAGGGTGCAGGTCATCTTGCATAAGGATTGGTGGCGACCGACCGTGTGATTGATGCCAAGGATTATCTATGAGCTTGGGCGGTCAAGGGCCGAGGATGAATCTTTCTATTCCAGGGCTATGGTCCTATGTAATGGGCGAGAATTGTGGTAACGGTGTTAGTTAGCTAGCAACCTACTGCGGCGTAAGGTTTGTTGTGGTGATGGGATTGTTGGTGGTGGTTGGTAACGGGAAGTAGATGGTCGGTCGGGAAGCTCATTGCTTGAGAGCTACAGAGTACACGTTGCTATTACTATAGTAGCATTCCTTGAGTGGCTCGGACGATGAAGTCACCTGGATAGCATACACATCTGTAGTAGGGTTTGAGTCTACGGAGCATTGTATCTTTAGGATTCTCCATCATCTCAGGGGAGGGAATAAAATGTCAATAGAATGAGGTGAGTACCATAACCATTGGCCCGTCAGTTTATGACGTGGCCCGAATCCCAAAACATAGCATTAGATCAATCTATCATTATCTATCCTTTAACATCCCTTTTTGTAAAAAACCGCACCCGCATGACACATGTAAACCAAGAAAAAGTATAAATATCGCTTGCAGTCCCAAACATTCCCTAATCGTAGAAAAATTCAACACCGGCAAGGAGATTAATTACACCGCTTCCTTTTCGAAGCGACTAATCAATGTACTTGGGAAGCGTCTTCAAGATGCCGTCCCGAGCAATGTCCTCCATAGCATTGGTGATCTCCTGCATGAAGCGCTTGTCGTTACGCAGATCGTCACCGAACAGACTCGTGATGCTCAGCAGCTCGGAGGGCTTAGTACCACCAGCACGGGCCTTGGCCTGGAGCTCCTCACGCATAGGGTCCTCGACGGCGAAGGTGTTACCCTTGTCATCAACACCATTGATGTAGCGGAACCAAGCAGCAGCGACGAAGGCCAGACGGCGGAGGGGGCCGTTCACCCAGATAGCCTCGGCAATCGAGGGCATGATGAACTGGGGGATCTTGCCGGATGCGTTGAGACAGATACGGGGCAGCTGGTCCATGATGGTGGGGTTGGAGAAACGTTCCATGAGGGTCTTGCAGTACTCATCGATGTTGACACCGGGAATCTCAGGCAAGGACGGTTTGACCTCTTCCTGCATCATCTGCCAGACGAACTTGTTGAAATCCGGGTTTTCCAAGACCTCGTGGACGTAGCTGAAGCCTGCCATCTGACCAGGGTATCCAATGGCGGAGTGACTGCCGTTCAGAAGACGGAGCTTGTGCTTCTCGAACTCTTCGACCGCGTGCACGTCCTTGACCACTTGGACGCCGACCTTCTCGAAGGGCGGACGGCCGTCGGAGAACTGATCTTCAATGACCCACTGCATGAACGGTTCGGTGACGACAGGCCAAGAGTCCTCAATACCCATGGTGTTCGCGAGAGACTCCTTATCGGCGGGAGACGTCTGAGGAGTAATACGGTCGACCATAGCGTTAGGGAAAGCACCTTTATCAGTAATCCATTGAGCGACTTCGGGGTTGCGGAGCCGGGCGAAAGACTCGAGCATGTGACGGGTGATGGAACCATTCTTCTGCATGTTATCGCAGGACATGACGGTGAAGGGCATGAGACCTTGTTGGTGACGGCGGGCGAGGGCAGCGTAGAGGAAACCGAAGGTAGTACGGGGGGCCTTTTCGTTGGCCGGGTCCAAGTCGAATTGAATGTCCGGGTGCTCACTCTGGAGCTCGTGGGTGTTCTCGTTGTAGTAGTAACCGCTCTCAGTGATGGTGAGAGACACGATGCGGGTATCCGGGTGCGCCATCTTAGCAATGACGGCTTCGCGATCATCAGGAGCAAAGAGGTAAGAATTGATGCTGCCAATGACATTGGCAAAGCTGCCCTTGGCCGAACGTTCAATGACGGTGTAGAGGTTGTTCTGGGAGCCCAGGGCATCACGCATAGCGGAATCGAAGGGCTGAAGACCAACACCGCAGATAGCGTAGTCTGTCACGCCATGGTTCTGCATCAGCTGGTCAACGTAGACCGCCAGGTGCGCGCGATGGAAACCGCCCACGCCGACATGGACAATTCCTTCCTTGAGGGCAGGACCGCGCCGGTAAGTCGGGACCTTAACGCGGCCGGCACCTGCCGCCACAATTTGCGACAAATTCGCGGTGTTAAGCTTGAGGGGACCCATTGTGTATGGGAGGATGAAGGAGAAAGGAGAGGAGGAGAGGAAGAAGGAGGAGAAGAGGGTAGAAAAAGGGGAGGGAGAGCAAGGGAAGTTATTTCAAAGCTGGCCGGGGAATGAGAAACAAAATGTTGAAGGAGAGCTTCTGGAGCTTCGCAGGGTCACCGCCGGTTTTGACCGCCGATCGCTCTGATCGCCGCCGAGTCTGCCGGGAATAGTATTACATCATGCGGTGGCGTTGTAAACTTCCAATAGCCCTCGAATAGATGGATTATGGACCGGTAGCCTTGCTTTTTCGGACCGGTGCTGTCCAAGCAAGCCGCGGACTGGATCCATGGTGGATCGGGGGGGTGTGGCCCCAGGTGGATGGAGCACAAAGAAGGAGGGAGGATTCGACGAGCAATTGGCTCCATTCCGACCCATTGGAAGATGAACCGCGGTGGCGGGAATTCCGGTGAAGCTCCAGAATAATAAAAATTCAAATGGTCGGCGCGTGGGGGAAGAGAAGACACAGTAGCAACATTGAACGACAATACGCAGTAGATAGAATCATAATGCAGGTGAGCCAAAGCAGATTAACCAGATCAACTCTTTCGGTCGCGCCGCACACGCGGGCTGCCGGCATCACCGGACACGCTCTCGGACGAACCTTAATCCCTGCACATTTTTAATTTAATTAAAGCAAGTCCACTTGTACAAAGTAGATAGCTCTGGATAGCTACGGAGTACAGTGAGTATTACTGTATGTAGGACCAAGTGAATAAGGGCTATAAAGCAGAACAATTCTAGACCATCAGGTGATCATCGGTCGGCAGCCGCGGGATGCTCCAGGATTTCTCAGCCCCTGACCAGTCCAAAATCAATCCCGACCAAGATGCATAACGTACTTTGTCCGGGGTCAGCTTTTAGTGCGGGTGGCCGTCAGAGATTTTTTCTTTTTTCCTTAGGTCTTGGGAGATTTTCTGATACTTCATATCTCACCTGCCCCTTTTGATACCGAACATGTGCCACCTGACTGCATCACCTGACCCCCTTTAATTGCCCCGACCCTCCATGATCTGGCTGATCGGGCTGTTCTGGCTTATTTTGCTTGTTCTGGCCCCTCGAGGACCTGGTCGGTGTTTCAATGGCTCTCGGTGAGCTTGGAGATATTCCTCTCCTTCTCTGAGGTGTACAAAGTACAAGGACTGCGGTGGACATGAGCCAAGATATCCAGCTCAACGTCTTCCCTACAGTAAATCTTGGTCCCATTCATAATCAATTACTGAGAAAGCGATTAATTACGAAGCTCCTGTTAAACCAGGCATTATCAGGCATCACAAGGCATCACCAGGCATCCAACCTTATTAAAACTCCGAAATTCAATTAAAGAGGATGTCAGGTGACTGACTATCCCTACATGATTATTAATAGAAAAAACTCTGATTCCTTTGCCCACCTGCTTAAAACAGTAGATGACAAGAAAAGCTATGGAGTAGACAGATACCCCTAAACAGTATCGGCCGACTTCAACCCCGCGGAGTTTCCCCTAACCCCGTCGGAGCTGTAAGCCCACATCCAAGGGGAAAGTCATTGCGGAAAACGTGGGGTGTCCACGATAGTCCCAACTCTGGTTCTTATCATAGAGATCTTCGAGACCCACCACCACAACAAACACACACACAAACCGAAGTGGAAACAACATTATTATCAATCACAATTGACAACTGAAGAACTTCGCTGATCACTTCAGACCAATCACATATTTCAGCAGATGACAAGTAGCTTGTCTGTGATCATGAGCGGATTAAATTAGTGCTTATTGACGGTTGCTTATAGTGTTTGTCGGCATCTCAAGGTCCTCAACCGATTAGTCTTACGGCAATTCATCTTTACTGTTGACTAGCATCATACGCTTGTCCTGCAGAAGGAACACAAGACTACGAGTCTGTATACTATTGTTCTTTCATCCTACAACATATGGATAGGCTTCTCAATTGATATTCCTAATTCCACTTCTATAGTAGCGGAAAATCCGATAATTTTCAGCATTATCAGTTACTTAAGTGCAAAGGATTTGTAAATCACCGACCTTCGCTTTCACTGTGGCAATGACCAGCAAGCAATACAAGGCCACAATGTCACAATGCTGTCCCTTTGAACATGTCTATAAAGACCGTTAGTACTCCGTACTTTGGAGTTGTATCAGTGGGCCCCAGCATTCTGCCAGTCCACCAATATCGCAAAAAATTCCTACTTTGGCACAGTGCAAAACAGAGCGCTAGCGTTATCAGCGGATCTCTGAATTCTGCCAGCCCACTACTTCTGTGATCGCAAAATATTCCTTCTTTGTCCTTTGTACCCCGCAGGGGCTGCGCGGGGCGCAGTGGATCCTGTGTTATCCCCTTCTTGCTTTGATCATCTCGTTGACAGAATTTTTTCAAGTACAAAGAGTTAACTGATAGAGGTGGTCGATAATAGGTCAAGTGCGCGATTTTGATGGGGTACAAAAGGGGCAGAAAGCTGCAGGCGGTGGAATTGCCGATCAATGAGATACGCGGAGGCAAGATTCGGCCCGTATAAGTATCCATCCTTTACAAAAGACACCTCCACACCCCGGCATCCGCTTACGCCACTTTTTGCCACACTTCGCCTCACAGGGCAGCAGGAAGACTTTTCTGAGAGATTCTAGAAAAGCATGGTGTATATGAAATCATCATGATATCTACTCAATCTTTCCATAGCATTCGAGAAGGACTTCTTCCCCACGACGCCCTTTTCGCAGCCTCAGGCACATCAAAGATGTCTTAGACATCATGTGGTGCTGAACGTTAAAGCCTCAGGCCCCAAACATACAGAGGCCATCAAATGAAGCTCGTGTTTGCTCGTGTTTGGTGAAGCAGAGCGGAGGGTGCTGTTGTACAATCTCTTCAAATCAGAACTTAGTGACTAGTAGTCAGCTTGTATATCTGTACGCCGATACCCTAAAGACTACTTGAACGATCATATCAATACCTCAGGCATGCATAGACTGCCAATGGGATAGTTAAATAGTCTACTCAATGCCAAAAACCACACTTCCCATGAGAGATGAGCCTAGCTGTTATTCATTTGTTTATTGTCAAGTCCTAACATAATCATTTAAATGATCTGCACTCTTGCGATACGAATGATGTCGCCCTCTGTTCTTGTTGTGAAAATATATTTTCCTGGACAGGTACTATCCAGGCTCTACCACTATACACAAAGCATTTTCACTGAACCACCAATGTGCACCCACCTCTCGGATGCGTGGGTCTATATTGTTCTACACGACGATACTATTGCTGCTTCTACCCGTGGCCAACGTTGGGCTGCTGATTTTACTAGGAAGGGAGAACTACGAGCGACCCGCATCCCAAGAGGCCCAACCGTATGGTTGGAAGAAAAGGGTGTCCGCTACTTTCCCGTCGTCAGTGGCTATTATGTACTGGGCGGCGACATCGCTCGCAGGAGCAAGAGTTGGCTTGTCGACTATAAGCATCCAGTGGAACAAACTATTGTGTATGGAACGGTCACAGTCGGTGCTGGAGCTGTCGCCGAGCGACCGGCGAACGTTTACAACGTTGATCAAGCCAAGTGGAGCAATTTTAATATCCCGAACGCCACCATGGACTTCTTTATCAAGGCCAAGCACCCCATGGTCATCGACTGCCCTGTTGTACCGAACGCCTTGAAGACCAAGATAACTTTTGTGGCCAGTAAGGCACTGCACGACTTTCGGAACCCGGTCGTGGGCCCATCCGGGGCAACCGGTGCTAACCTTTTGGTGCTCGGCGACGATGCCGCGGACAATGTCGCTGCGTGGACTCGTCCCGTACTGAAAACTATCCAAGGCGCCGCAGAGATGCAACGAAAGATTGACAACCTAGCCACGCGCTTGGCGGCTTTTACGGATGAGCTCCGAAACCTCAACCCGTTTTTGATTGCGGAGGAGACAGTCAAAGAAGCTATGATCATTATGTGTAGACTTGAAAGAACTAAGGGGTTTAATCACGTTTTTTTCGTACTGACAAAGAACAGACATGCAGAGATGGTTTAGTAGTTGAGTTGGAAAATAGAGCATGTACCAAGTAGTGGTACTGAATATATATATATGCAGTATATTATTTCCACTCTGACATTATTACTATATATGACACCAGCCATAATATACCGAGAAAAAGCTTTCGCAGATATTGAAAGATGTTTGGCTATAACAGGTTGTATCTCAGTGGTGCTTTAACTATAGCTCACAAGGCAAATTTTGTCTGCAACCAAAGAAGTGCGTCTTTTCGATGATGTATTAGCAACTGCTAGATTATCATTACTACTGCCGAGCTGTAAGTACTTGTTGAAGTATCTTGGATGAAAGCTATTACATTACACACAAGAAACCGAGGCGACGTCCATGCATTACGAATGCGCTCTAACATGTGATCTCACTCAATACAAGTATTCAAGGAACCAGGATTCCTAAAAGCACATATAATTGAGACTAAACTAAAGTGACAATTCCTTGTAAGAAATCGCACTATAAACTACTCTAAAGCAATCTTTATCTAAACAAACAATGGAGTCCAATCAACACCGGCACAGCCCAACAAGACACTTTTATCGGGAAAGAGCAAAATCTGGAGTTGAGCTTGCTTCATATTATTCCTGAGTCGAGTATGTCAGTCACCAGACTGAAACCGTATATTAGACGAGGGACGTGAGCCCGCTTAGTCGCTGTAGCCGGAGCCAGAGCCAGAGCCGTCACCGATGGCGACACACTGCACAGAAACAGCCATATTAGTCATGAACAGAACTACCTTAGAGACAAGAAAGAACAATGTAGCTGAAAAGGAAGGAAAAATGAGAGGCAAACGTACCTGAGCACCCTGGCCAGGGCAGCAAGAAATGACGTTCTCGCAGACCGGTCCATCGGGGGTATCCTTGACGAGGGCTGTTACATGCGTTCATAAATGTCAGTGATGTATCTTCCAAGGCTAAGGTTTGATTTGAATGTAAAGGATCAGTCATACCCAGAATACCAAGCTCATCAATGAGGCTGACCGGAGCGCAAGCGCTTCCTTGACCGTTGACCAGACTGCCGACGACACCCCACTCGAGTAGGTTGTTGAGGAAGCCATCAGTCTTGTCCCCGTTGGTTGGGTTGCAGCACGAGACGTTGCTAATATCGCACTTGTCCTCAGTCTGGGCCTTAAGGGCTTAGGAATCAGCGACAGCTCTAGCAGAGACGTCGGCGGATACCGCGAGGGCGAAGGCAAGGACGTTGGTGAGAGTGAACTGCATTTTGGCTCATTGTTCTAAGGATTGGGTTCTAAAGAGGATTGTAAGGAAGGCTTGATGTGATGATTCGGTATGATGGATGCTTGTTGGATGGATGAGAGACTGACTTGGCCGGGGTTATGGGACCCTTTTATAGCTGTCCAGATAGGTCTTCGAGATCTTTTCGGTCAAGGTTTCGAGCAGGAGAGGTCGATCCAACAATGCAATGTTCCTGAGGTGTAGTCTGTCTTCTTTCCCTTCTCCTCTCCAAGGAGCCTAGACTTCCATTCCATACCTCCTTCGCTTGGAGAAAACCCGTCTGCCTCGTTCGGCTCTGGTGGGGACATGTTATAAGGGGTCTTCGATGCTGGGTGCAATAGTAGCTCCTCGACCAAAAAAGAACACTCCTAGATTGGGGGAGACCTCGTTCTTTCTCCGTGCTCTAAGATTCTCTAAGAGAACTTGATTCTGGTGACGAAGACTGCAGGGATGAATACTGAATCGTTCGAGTAAAGGCAGGAACGGAGTGACGCGGGTATGGATGGCAAGGTCTCCTGAATGCCTCTAGGCTTCTAGATTGGACCTGAAACAATATGTCGTAGGTCTCTTCAGGCTTAGTAGTGGTGGCTATTCCCGCACGAGTGTGGAAGATGGAACGGATAGTCAATCTTAGCCTCATCCCGCTGAGAAGCGAGAACTAAAGTGGTAATCGAGCGTTGTCTTGCATTCATTTCTGCGCCCAATTGTCGAGAGATAAGACCAAAATGAACGGCAAAGGTATGCATACTACGTCCCTTACGTAGAGCAGACAAAATTAACGTGTACTCCGATGGCAGTAGGAAGGGTAGCTAAAATTCTGACTTAACCTCGTAAACGTGCCGACCCTACACCAGCCCATCTCTTGTGCTGCACACGTACAATAGTAAAGTTTGAGCCACAGTGGCGATCTATCAGATTGGCCTTACCGAAGCGAAGGGATCAAAGGGGGTGGTAACTGCAGGCAGGCATGCAATCGGGCCAAGTATCTGAGATAGGATCTAGCGAGTCATGACAGCAAAGACATGAGCACAGACAATCTTGACATCGAGACACTAGTGGGGCTGGGGCTATGACCTCCTCTGGCTTTCAAGGGGGGACGCAACCGTAAGCCCTAACTGGCAGGAGTCTGATAGACCCCGGGGGGGGGGGCCGGGTATTTTGGCAGTTGCCTATTTCGAATGGAAGGAAGACCCGACCAATAGGAATGACCGTGGGCTGGGGGAAACTTTAGACGGACCAATCCAGCCAATAGGAAGCTCAACCGTTCTGACCTTCATAGCTTTACATTGTTTTCCCACAGTATTGCTTTCCAAACTCTCCCTGAGAAGTTCATCTTCATTGCTTTAGATTAAGAGCATTGAAAATACTTACTATATTTGAGGTCCACCTCATCGTAAATAAGTCATCTAAATTGACGTTTGGACAAGGTTTGAATTTGCTGCTGTCATAGTTGGGAGGGCCCATCCCTTCCCTCGATTTGAAACTGACACGTTCCACACTCGATCGACCGAGAAAAACCGGGCTTACACCATACGGTACTAAAAGTAACACGAAATTTACAATACGGTAACATTACAATAAAATGGGAATTCTATTCCCGTACCTTCACTGCCAGGAAGGCCACTGCACGAATCTACGTGGCCCACACGCTCAAATGTAGAACATGGTATCCCTCACATTCTCATGCAAAGATAGTTGCAGCTGATCCGGAGATAACTCGTACCTAGCGTCCCGGGAGGATCGACGAAGCAGCTCGTCCACATAGAACCGCGCTCGGAAGCACGCAAGATCAGCGTAGAACACCGGTGGGCAGATGCTGGCTGCCCTCGTTGCGCGACCAGAAACGTAGCATATATTGTGAGTTAAGGCTTGAATAGCATTGACCGGATTAGGTGAGGCTCTAGCCTGCGGATCGCTGGGAGAGGACTGAAAGATTTCATCAAGAAGCACAACATAGTGTGCAGGGCGAGCAATTCCTCGACTGGCAGTGTGAGACTGTAAGTAGAAGTCCCAGACCTTGCTGCTACTAGCTGGGCCGTGATCAACGATGGTGCCATTGGGAGGATTGGTGTCTTGAGACGACCGGCCATTGCGCTGACCTGTCCTTGTGGGCGTGAAAAATCGTGTGTGGTGTCGTTTCCCCACAATAACGATAGTGATTCGAGGCTCTTTAAGACCCAGGCTACTGTATAAGTCTCTGCATGCTTTGCGTAGCTGAGGGAGCTCCACGGTGAGGACACTTCCGTATTGTGTATCAGAAACGCCATCGCGGTAGAGCAGAATACTTTCTGGGAGCTTGCCATGATTCCACCTCTGCCATGCATGCAGCCTCGAGGTTAGAAGCACACCAAGCTGCGTGACCAACTCCTGACGGGCGGGTTGAGTGCATATCTCCGCTGGCCATTGTGCCAAGTAACGATCCACAGAGGCTACCATGGCGGCCACGCTGGGAGCCCGTGCTGGAAGGTTCCCTGAAGTTGGGTGCGTTACGTCAACCCCAATCACCATGGTTTTGCCGTCGCTTATGATGTCAAGGCTGCGAGTAAGCAACTTTTGATTAATCCCTCCAAGCTTTAAGTTGAGCTTCAGAGCCACATTAGACAGGAACTGATCATTCGATTGAAGGAATTTGTCCGCTACCACGCACACGTTCCTAATTCCATAATGGACATCGCAAAGAAATTTGATCCTGCTGTAAAGACCTTCCGCAGCTTGTGGGAGGATAATGAGTAGGAATGACATCGAAGACTCGCCTATGGCAGCGAGAGCATGGGCTATCTTTTCAGCATCACTTTCCCGCCGTAAAGTAGTATCAGTCACACTGACATTGACCCCCGGCCGATAAGGTTCAGGAACGCTGATACCAAGTGACTTCAGATGAGAGCGGAATTTCTGTAAAGCGGCTTCTAAAAGAGCCTTCTCTGGATCTATACCATGAGAACGACCGGAAGTCGCAAGCCATAAATAAGTCCACTGGGAGACTGACGTGCTCCCGGCAAATTTCATCCCACGTAGATTCCAGCTTCCGGCTCGCACAGAAGCTCGCTGTCCCTGACAATATTCTAAAGCAGGGGAGTCCAAAACGCGACCAGACACCCTCGCCATATTCGGTGCAACGGTAATCCCGAATGAAGTCTGAATATACACAAAAAAGAAAAGTCGGATTAGTCCCTGTCTATAGCTTGTCAGGTCATTCAATCTTCCACTTACCAAATTCGCTCCTCTATTGGGGCGAGACATGCCCAAGATATTTGAGAGCTCTGTCTCTATGGAGGTGATCTGAGAAGCTGAAGTGTTTCTGATACCGCGACGAGCTGTGTCAATACGAGCGCCTTGACGAAACTGAGAGGCGGCTCTAGATGCAGCCGCGGACTGACCAGGAAGCACCCGACAGACCTGAGCCGGCAAGTAGGAAGGATTCGAGGGACTCCCAACGTTGACAACGGGAAGCCATGGATCGTCAACAGTAATGTTATAAACTAGATGATAGATGGGTCAGCACTCAGGCTAGTAAGGGCGCAAACTAAAATCTTACCTGACCGAAAGTATTCGAAAACAGTGATATACCCTTCAGGCGTAGGTCGCTTTCTTTTCCGACTTCCCCAGACAGTTCCGTCCCCTACCTCGTGGCCATGTGAGCGTGGTTCGCGGAAGAACTGGACTTCCTTAGCTCCTGCCCCGAGGCATGGCACCTTAGGGGCGTATGCCAGGCCACAACCATCTCCTGGTGCTGCCAATCCCGCTACTGTCTTGAGTCGCAGCGCGAATTTTCCTGCACGTTTACGCATGCCGAGGTGCGTAAGCTGGACGCGGATATTCCGAAGTAGCGCAGCAATTTTATTCATGTCAGGTCCATTTTGGCGCATATGCATCAGGATGACTTTGTCGAGCGGGCAGTCATCATAGCAGATTGCAACTTTTGGGGCTGCGTTGACGAACAGCCGGCCCTGCGCTTCACGAGCGACCATGAATAGTCCACGGAGAACATGTAGCCCTGAACCCAGGCTGATCCGCGAGTCGAGGTTGAGATAAGTCCCAGTGCCGGCAGATCTGATGTGTGGGGAGAACTTGGGTTGGTGTCCCAAAATGATATTCAACGCATGAATATGTGTCTCGGTCAGCGGCGGCCCTTGGTTCCTTGTATCACCCTTAAGCATTTGATAGATCTGGGGAAGCTGAAGAATTCCGGCTGGAAGTAGCGTGACATGATAGCAATCATGCTGATACACCACAGTATAAGGACGGTCATAGCAGGGTAAAATGCGACTTGAGATGAGGTTCTGGTAGCCATCGGAGGCAATGCTTTCCTGGAACTGCACAAGCTCCGTTTTGAGGAGCTGGAGAATCACCTGGGTCACTACTTGTCTGCTCACAATCACGGCCGCATCTGGCTCTGATCGTGAGACGCGCACTTCATATCGGTGCAATTGGGAATAAGGCTGGAAGTTCAATTGAAAGTAATTTGCGTAAAGGTTGATTGGGCGACCTAGAGTGCCATATCCTGGCCTTTTGGATGGCTTGACGCAATTTTCAGACATCTGGTCACAATGATGGCTGCTATAAAAAGCACAGTCGAACTTAGAGAGGGAAGAGACAGAGCCAAACTGCTAGTTGGTTAATATCGTTCAGGAACACCCCAGGATGGCGGCTACCCCACACAAACTGAAGGAAAACATCCAAGGCACCGAAGGGCAACTGCTCCTTATAACGACGGCATCCCTTTCGGTATGCTACGCCAGAAGGGTCTACCAGTGAGCAAAAGAAACAAGACAAAAAGTTCTTTTAGCCACCGTAAGTTGAACCGTAACAGCCAGCACCATACTACGTCGAAAATTACGTTGTATCAAATTTACAGACCGGTGTGGTAAGGTATGCAGGGTATGAAAGGTCGTACGATCCGTGGCGGCATCACATACGCCACATTCGATAGCCCTAATGCGGCTTCGCTCCCTAGCGATCTGTTTCCTGATCTGGACAAGGTGCGAGTCATTTGAAAATGAGACATTGCTGCATGCAGCTAAGATTGGTTTTGGGGAGCGAACACAAAATTAGGGCTGGAAATATGGGCTAGACCGTTTTTGATTGAGCCTCCCCTCAGACGCAGAGGCCAGTGCGCAGTGGTCTGGCGATCTGATTCAGTCAAAGATATCCTTTACAGTCTGTGCTGTCATGCTTTTGAATCTTCTGTAATGCAAGCCATCTTAACATACCGTTAGAGGCTGCTTAGATGTATGGGAAAACGCGCAAATATGCCGCTACAATCAAAGTTTCATCATTTCATAAAAGCACAATATAGAGAGTAATTATCGGAGGGCCCCGATTTTGTGAGAGCAATGAAGGTTAGACAGCCGTTCCTGCTAGACCAAAGGGCGCAGCAAGGTCGCGCAGATGTGGAGTTCTCGACACGAGGGTTTGTCAAATACCCTGTTTCTTGAACCATATATTGGTGTACACTATAGTGGTATGGGATCTTAATTTTGGCTATCATTCGAGGTATACAAAGGGGCATCCTTTCTGGACCCTCAAAGGTGTAATAAATCTATTGATACACCCGATAAGCTGTGATACTGATAAGCTATGATCCTGATGAACTTGTGTGCGAAACGGACTAAACCTTTTCTTTTTATTAAGCTAAACTAAACTCTAGTCTAAAAAGACACAAACCCCCAAAGTATATCGGCCGGCCAAGGCCTAGGACGCTTTGACCAGTAACAGGAAATCAACTAGCGACTGGAGCCGATATGAAATCCTCACGAAGCTTAATCCCCAGCAAAATGCTGCCGTTGTACCTCCATATCTGCAAGAGGCCAGTGGAGCTGTTCATGGAGTGCTTTAGTTTCTGGAAATGGCTGCACACTGTTCCATACGTAAATCCATGTCAGCAAGCTCACTTTTTAAGAGATTCTCAATCACCTGATGATAGACTTACACCGAATCCGTTGCAGCAGGAAAGGATGTCCTTGCAGTCGAAGCTGTCGCCGTCCGGTCTGAACAAGGCTAGGAATTATTAGTTTATTTTTGTTGCCCCTGGAATATAATGCAGACTTACCATCAACAAGCTCATTGACACCCTGAGCGACCGTAGTGGCAGCACAGAGAAATTCCTGGCCATTGAGGACGCTTTCAATCATAGTGCCCTCCTCGAGCACAAGGTTCAGAGCAACGTCGGTGATATCAGCGTTTCTAGGACTGCAGCAGTAGGTGTCCGAAACCGCGCATTGGGCGGAAGCTTTGTTGATGAACCGCTTCTGCTGGCTTTCCTTAGCGGCCGGGATAGCAACGGCAGTCATGGCGAAGCCAAGGATAGCAGCGACAGCGAACTTCATTTTGAAAGGTAGTTGGAAGTTTGAACAAAGGTTCTTGTAGCAAGATTGAGTATTCTGAGAGAGAGAGAGAGAGAGAGAGAGAGACAGAGAATTAATGCTTTGATGATCGAGTGAATGATTGATGAAGATGAAAGATACTTTGAGCTGGGGATCGTGACGGGATTTATAGCTTGGGGTGGAGAATCCCCTCTCTCAGTCTCCTTCTATGTTTTGTACTCGGATTGCTGCGAGCCCCTACAAGGATTTCGAGTTATGGGTCACTGTGACTGAGACAATACCAATCCTTGCTCTCACATACCAGTTAACGACGATCATCTAAACCTCGATTTCTGTAAAGGATTATGTCTTGCATTGTGATCTTCAAGGGAATGAAGATAGGTCTGCGATGATTACAATGGGAATGTACACATGTGCCTAGACGCAAACAGTTGAGATTTTAACTTGGTGCTTGGATGAATAGGAAGATTTTTCGCCAAGTGTGGATCGAGAAGTTTCAATGTAACCAGTTCATGACCCTAATTGCATCCCTTGTATCATACCAGTGTAGTAGATGGGTCTTTCTAACGTGCCTTTACTAGATTAGAAGGGTACACTCTGTCAACACCTCATCTGCTTTCACTAAAACCACCATTCTTTTTTCCTAGCCCGGCTGTGGGGAAGCGAAAATGGATTGGATGGTATCTTGCAGTCCTACTACCTGTAGTGCATCTATGTGCTTCGCATGCTTGCATGAGCTCCCTTAATGCTTTCAGTAAAGAAGCTCATTAGTAGCAAGGCGATCGGATTCAGCTATGGTAATCTTTCAAGTCGAACCATGAATGTTGAGGGAGCAGGATTCTTGAGGCTAGTATCATATTTTTCGGGGCTATGCGGTATTATCGGTCGATCTCCTTCATTGTCGGGTCTCAGCCATCGCTCTGGTGATTCCTTGTGACTATCCTCAAGGTTTTCCTTCCTAACTCCTATACAGGGATTGGACAGGATTCGGATCGCCCCTTTACCAGGATTGGACGTTAAAAATGCTAGGCTATACTAAGATTCCTCGGTGTCTTTACAAGACGTAGTGGATGTCGGCAAATCCTTCTCACAGGGGCTTTAGCAAGGCAAATATTTGCCTACTCTGGACGCAGTAAGACATTGGACTATCCTTGAGAATCTATCTAAGGTTCTCTCAGAACATTCCCAATTGCCTTGGAGCATTCAGTGTGTACATCTTTGAAGAAGAGAGTCAGTTCACGTTCACTTTGCGTTAGTATACTTTACGAACGCGGACTACGGTCTGAAAGCGGGCAAGGAATGCAAAGTCCTCGGGCCTACCAGGTACCAGGGGGCATAGTAAGACAAGTGAGTGATGACTTTGATGTCTATAAAGACTGGACACCCTTGAGTTTTATTCTCTCTTTTCTTTTCTCCCCCAGAGCTTCGCTTGGCTGTGAGTTGTAGTTTGGTTTCAGCTCCACTACCTCGTCGCTTCTCTTCGTCTCATCCACGAAGCCACGGCGAAGTATACATGTTTTGCGTCTAGCAGACGGGTATACTTCATTGTGACTTTGTGGCCGGGTTGTAGGAGAAGATGATGTCGGGGCTGGGTAATACCTACGGTAACTGTAGCACAGGGAAGCTCATAATGCTGAGCTTTCTGTGTTATCAGGGACATATGCTTTTTGGGAAAAGCAGTACTCGATTCTTAGGTTGTGGGATTATTTATTAATGTTCATGCCAGTCATTAAAGATACATATCGTAGAGTGCAATGAAAACTTACACAATGCTTGTCAAATTATCACCCTACCTAGAAAGCTTCATTGGATCTCTTTTCTCACTTTTAAACTTGTAGTCGATTATATAATCTCCATATTCTGTATGTGATATTTAAGCAGCATGGATTTGCAGAACCCTATAGCACGCTACTAGAAAGTCTATGTGTCATGACATCAGGCAGTCTATTGCATGTTCTTACTCGATGAATGGCTCGATACACACGTCTAATTGCGATACGTACATATTAGGATAGAGATCTTCAATCAGCTCTAGTAGTTACTAATGAGCATAAGGACTCAATAAAACCTGCTTTACGTGTCCGAGGCAGCGCTACTATATGTCATGGACTACAGCCCAGAACGGGGAATATATATTTCTCTGCGCACAAGGTAGTGGTGTTTCCGTCATTGCATTTTGGGTGATTAGACAGCAAAGGCCAATTATGACAGAAGCTAGTTGATGATAACTTGAATCAGATATAAATCACATATAGAGCATCTATATTGCAAATCTACTGGTTGTGGCGGCTGCTAGGATATAGGGAAGAGTAGGACGAACATGAAGGCCATTTTACCGGGATAATGAGTAACAAATGCTACGCCATTGAATAAGTCTTAATGCAGACAAGTGGTACAGCCTACTATGAAGGTACTAATATAAGCTGTCATTTACCTTCTAATTAAAGGACTCAAACTTAGTAGTCTACTGATCTCAGGGCAGTAGTATATCCAACAGCCGATGCCATATCGACGCTCTGAACCAGACACTGTTTTCAGAAATCTGACGCTATGTAACCAGGGCACGAAAGGAAAAATCAACAAAGGCGCGTAACCAGGGGCATTAAACTGGAAAGGCTTGCTGTATCCATTGCACAGATAACAAAGCCCTCAAACCCTTCGAATCATGGCAGGTATTGCCACCAACCCCGTCAAGCCACCAAGAAAAAGAAGAAGCCAAGGGCGCCATCATGCCAGGCACGAGATTCGAAAAAGTTGGAATGAACCCTAAGTAAGCAGTGGTTAGTGCGAATTCTAATTGATATGACTTGTCTATCACTTACCTAGTCCGTAACTGGCAACGCAAGGGGGTTCTTGGGGGATTTGGGGCCCCGCCTGTCTCCTCGACGATAAGGTTTGATCATTTCTTAGCGCCAAATTCCGGTCGGTTACCGATCCGAATACCGTGGTAATTTTTCACGTTTGAAAATAACGAGACTTGTATTAATGAACCGCCGTTTTATTACACGTACATGGAATTCCTGCCCTCAAAGGCGAATGTCTAGGCATGGTAGAAGCCAGGTGGATTCAACAGAAACAGGACTTCTATTAGCTGTAATACAGAGGAGCGTAGGTTTCAAGGAGTTTTTCACTACTTCATCACCTAGACATCCCTTTCTTGAGAGACAGGGTTATCGGTGCTGGTAATGCCAGCAACATGAAGACGATGGATGCCTGATCGGTGGAAGCATGTCACTGACTTTATGTTCTCCCTCATTTGGGCTTACTATATTCGGCTAGGGAGCTGCAGGCTACGCTTCCGTCAGTGGCCAGGACATTGCCCAGCCTATCTCGCAAGAGGTTGACTGCACATTCCTATTCACATAGTGACCGAAAAGGGTATAGCAAACCCTCAAGGTTTTTGCGAACATGAATACTACCATCTAGCATTTGATATCATGACTCCAAGTATGTAGCATCACCTATGTCATAGCATTCGACTATCCTTCGGAAGAACATGGTCAGGAGATCTCAGAGAATGCCTGGTACTTGCGACGAATGTGCCGCTACAGTTTGCTATGGCCAAGGGCATTTGTGCGTTTGCCGAAAACAGAATCACATGTGAGGATAGCGTATAATAAACAGGAAATTGAGGGACTGATGATGCTATATGATTATATGCTATCATACTCTGGGAAAAAGGGACATGCCTGCGCATTCTTTTTCTCTATGAGTGAGAAACAGACTTTTTGACCACTAAATGCACTAAACTGGATATTCCGGACGTAATACTAACAATCAAACCATCGGTTCATCTATTGCCTACCAACAGTACAGTCTGCATGCGGTATCATAACAGTGTTTCCCAGAGTTCCTCCACTTGCGATCGTTACATACTCTCTAAAGCCAAAGAGAGGACCACTTAGACACTCAGCCATTCCAAACAACATTAAGAATATCCCCAAACAGGAGAACTGTGCAAATTCTCTGCCTTTTTCCGTCTTAGTAGCAATTACCGGTCACAGCACCCGGCCAATGACGAAGTTATAGCATTTCATATTACTGGGGAGTTAGTGCTAACTGCCTTCATCCCTATACCCCAATCATTACATCAAGATCATGACTCACATTTTTTCGTTGCGTTCACGGACATGCGCGTACTACGGTTGCCCCAAGGTGTGATGGATGTCTTCTTGGTGTGACACTGCGTTCCTGGATGTAATTCTAGACCAAAACTGAGTACTGCTCCAAGAGTTCCTTTAGAGGGATGACTACTGAATTGCAAGAGACCGCAAAGATTTATTCTCGAATTTAAAGAAACCGAAGTAGATTGTTCCCGATGCGGGCAAAGCCTGTTTATCTCATCAGGTAGGACGCATTGGTGAGCTAGTTCGCCACATCACACATAATGCAGACTGATAGATGTTCCGTACATCAAAATGCCACCCGAGAGAAGCAAGCAATTCTAGACAAAGAAATAAAACACAAAAAGCGAAAAACATACAACAGAAGGGATTCGCTGGTGGTCACCCACCCAACTACTAACCTCCCGGCGTGTGGCTTAAGTACGGCTGAGCGGACGGGAAGCCCTGTTTTCCACACCCTATGGTCGTATGTGCTTGTTTTCGGTATGAAACGGTATATATCTAACTTATCCTAGTCGATGGTTTAAGAGCATAGTATGATATCGAGTCACATAAGGATATGGTTGTTGCACAGTCGCGGGCTAACGGCTGTTCTGTGACTGGGTCTTGCTAGCGATCTACAGATGCTATCACCAAGATCACTCAAGATAGGTCTCATAATCTATTCGTAGATACCTATCGACGACGCCTACGTAAGATCTAGCTTAATTCTCTCCAAAAGCCGTTCAAAGCTT